GAAAGATAAAGTTATTTTCCAGTAACAGCTATCTCAATATCACGTAGCAGTCTTAGCACGATTTCTTCTCGGTATGGAGGTGCTGCCACTTGTACATTCACGGGAAATCCGAGAGCACCCTAAAGTCACATACATAAGATGAGTTTTCGAAGTTCAAATGCGAAATGACCTACCTTGCAAGCTTCTTTAGCCTTTCTATACCAAATATCAGTCTCGGGATAGTCTCGTAGCTTTTCTTCATCTTCCTCGTTCACCTTCGTCACGTTAACCACACCTATGTTGATACTATAAACTGCACGTTGTAAAGGCCACTGTGGCTTCATAAATGATCTGGATGCTGTCGTATGAGGCATCGGCGGGGCTCTTCGGATTGATTTTACGCGAACGGGAACCCTTCTGAAGGTCCAGCAAATTACGAAAATCCCTTTAATATCTGTAGACTCGTGAAGAGGGCAATACTGACTGGCTGATGGAGCGCAATTGCTCTTTCAGGGTAAAACGATTTAGGGCTTTGTCAAGAAACAAAGGAAGTGTTTTGATCTGACTATTGCGCTGTAAGTTGGGTTAAGGGGTGTATGAAGTGTTTGATTTTAAAAAAAATTATGGGGAACAAAAAGTGTTTGGTAATTGTATCCCTTTTCAAAAATTTTCATAAAACCTTTGAATCCCTTGCGTGTCCTCTTTTCAGATTTCATTGCTTTCCATCGGCTAATCGTTAAGAAAAAATGGTTTGTGAAATATTTAGAAGATGTGAACTTTTCGCACAAATGCCCTTTTTTTTCACAAATGCCCTTTCAATCTTGGCGCAGTTTGGTTAGTTGTAAAGTGAGTATTAGAGGAAACGAAAACGGAAGAAGGAACTACAATCCTTTGAATTTTTCTCCTACAATTTCCCCTTTGTTTTCCACATCAAAAAGATTTTTTGGTTGCCTTCCGGAGACCTGCTGCCGAGCCATGCCTCGTATATGCTGCTGAAATGAAATAGGAGTTATCGAACATTTAAAAACGTACCTGCACCGAAGTCTAGCAAATTGAACATTGCTGTGTAGGAAGCAGCAGAAAAGAGTTTTGCTGGAACATCGTGCTTCGGTGTTATCAATACCTGGAATTTCATAAACACTCGTAAGTTTATTGACTTTGAATTTAAGGACTACGCTAACCTGTGGAGGGCAAAGCAATGCATCCAGGTCATCTTCCATCATCTGTTCAACAAATACACCACGGTACCGTTCAATTTCAGCATACGTTTCACGGAGTTCTAGAAAACATAGTTCTACCTTAAGCGCAATTCCAAGATTTTCCAAAGCCTTTTCATTCTGAGATATCTTACCACTCGTTTTTAGCGTCATCGCTCGAATCATATTGGCAATGCGTGGTGCAATATACTCCAAGGGATAGGCAAACATTCGTTGGATCCATACAGGTACGAAAAACA